TCCAGTCAATGTGGTCAATACATATCTAATTCCAGATCACATACAAGTGTGCCAACTCCAGCGCCGTGCACAGAGACAGATCCAGGAAGCTTCCTGCAGAATAAGCCCTATACGTCAAGGAGCGTGCCCAAGGTACCTGACACTTGCTTTTTCTCCCGTCAGTCTTGGAGAGCAATTACTGTTTGTTTTGAAAATCATTTGAAATAAAGGGATAATAAAAGCAAAAAGGACTCCAAAACCTACTTCCTGCCTATTGTTGGTGGGTGGTGTAGTTTTCCTTTTGGACTTTTTAAAGCAAAATGATCTCATTTCTCTTCTCTTCTCCTTCCGTTGGGCAATGTGTGCGCTGTAAGAAACACTAATGACTACACTTGCGAATATTTTACAGTAAAAGCCTATACGTTATGTGTAGGCTATGGAGGATGTACTCCTACGGTGCTATTTAAAGAACCAATATCAATGAGAAAGATGTCATCTAAGGCCCAAAAGTTTTCAAAGAGGAAAATATGTAATTCCAAGTATAGTGTAGTGTTGATATTGTGAAGTCACAGTAAAAATACCAGTACAGGAAGTACAACGGAGAGCCTGCCGTCTCAAAATACTTGAAAATCTAGATGGTACATACTAACATCTTCTCTAGATTTTCCTACTGACGTGTAATGTATTTCTACCCCTAACTGTGCCAGACTATTCAAGGTGAGACTGCAAGACTTAAATCAAAAGATAGTGATTCCCCCTTTCTGCGACACACCCCATCCGACTGTGGCTAGGAAATAAGATTATTCTAATCAGGAGGCTTTTATTTTATACAAAGGAAAAGTCAGTTGGGGCGGTGGGATGGACTCAGGTTAGGGGCTTTAGTTTTATCCATTACACGTTTTTCAGGTCGTAGGCTTTATGGAGCATGTCAGCCTTTGCCGTTTTGTAATGGCCATCAATAGGCCTGCTACAAGTCGAATGCAGTAACTATCTAAAATAGTTAGTTACTGGGATGTTGCCAGTGCGCAAATGGATGATTTTCTTAGCTTCTTAGTAGTTAAACGTAAGGGAGGGAGAACAGGACTCTTACGTGTTATGTTGCTTTAACTCTCTTTGATAACCAGCTGGAGGTGCCTTCTCTGAAACCACAAGCAGTTGAGGGAGAACTGTAGTTTGGAAATGCAAGAGTGCGGATCAAGAGCATGTGGCAGCCTGAATGGGTCACTTCACCCTTCTGCATTGTCTCTGTTTCAGAGAGGGGTAAATCAAAGCTCTGCTAAATGACCTACCCAGGGTGGTCATGGTCTGTCTCTTGGCGGGAGAGCCACATATTCTGGAGCAGCAGTCTCTGTTTCCAAAGTACAGTCCTCTCTGTTTCCATCACTTTCAAGCTCTCTATAACTGACATCATGTTATTTAGCTGATGAGCATGAAATAGCAGCCCCCGATCCCCTATGCCCCATAGATCTGCTAGTGAGCGGCCCCACATTCCACTGAAATGGCTGAAGAAGCAAATCTTCTTCCATTTCCTGCTCTTGTGATTTTTTTTTGACTATCTGATGATGCTCTTTATTTCCTCACAGGATGTGCCAGCAAACAGAAGCACCGTGCCATCTTATGCAGTTCACCACCACCAGCAGCAGCCGGTTTATCACCAGCCTTACAATTATCCTCAGCCATCCCAGGAGCAGCAACAGTATAAGATGCCTGCAAGGTCTGTGGTGACCATTTTGCTACTAGGGAAAATGCTTTATAACACATGCCAGGGCAAATGCAAAGCTGAGAACTTGAGAGCACAGTTTGGGAAACATGTAGCTTGTTATTCTGCTAAATCTGTCTTTGTGCTCATGGGTGGAATGGTTTTTCTTCCTTATCAATCATGCGTACTCCAAATAATACACATGTGACTGAAAGATTCATCATGAAGAGAGGGGCGTGTAATGAAATGTATAAAACCTGTATCTTCTCTGGTGACACCTCTCTCACTCTTAGGGTACATCTAGACTACATGCCTCTGGCGCCAGGCACGTAGATTAGACTACCTGGCATAGGCATATCCTGGGATGAGGTTTACCTGGGAGGTCGACAAATGCCTTTGATGTCGACCGCGGAGCGTCCAGACTACCAAGCTGAGCCGACAAACAGCTGATCAGCTCAGCGCGGCAGCCATTTAAATTTAAATTAAGCGGCGATTATTTAAATCGCCGCTTCATTTTCCTATGCCAGGTAGTCTAATCTACATGCCTCTGGCGACAGAGGCATGTAATCTACACGTACGCTCAATGGTGGTTACGTTATTACAAAAAGTGAGAGTGCTTTCTATCAAAGTTGAACATCCAGGTTTATCTTTCTCCTTAGTTTCATTCTAAAACAATAAATCAAACTTCTGTTTTGGTTTAAGTGTTTATGCCTGTGTCCTTCAGGCGATAATAAAACAGACCGACACGCATATGTAGTAATTTGTGTTTTAAATTGGTTTGGGTACAGGAATATTTCATTCCAAGATACCTAATTAGGAAAGGCTGTGTGACCCAGGAAATGTTAGGGGCGTCGTATGGTATAGAAGAGAAAAGCTTGCGCAGAGACAGAGTTAGAGGGGAGTCATTCGTGTTGAGGTGGTTTTGGGAAGGAGTGCTAGGGAGAGACCATCAAAAACGTGACTAACAGAGAGCAGGAAGATGAAAGAACATTCTCTATATGCATATAATGCATGTAATCATCTTTGTTCCACTTACAGGCCACCTCCACCACAACAGAAAAACGTACCTCAGGGACACTATTTTCCTTCTCGACCTGCACCTTTACCTCCCAAGTAGCTTTTAGTTTCTCTCTCACATACTGACCTGTTCACTGAAATGAAGCTGAAATTCTGTTTGTTCGTCTTGCATCAAGTGTCCTATGATATCCCACAAAGCCAGCTTTCTGCAGTATGGGGTATGGAAAATGAGATAGAAACGCAAGGAATGTAAGATTAATAAATCAAAGATACCTCGACCAAAGCTACAGGAACGGGACACTCCGTCCGTTCTTAGCTCCATGTGTGAGCATTGCGGCTTTGCAAACTGAAGTTGGACTATCCAGTTGGAAGTGGATCAGTTGGCAGTAAAATAATCTTTATAGTACAGCACTTGGGAGTTACTTTTTGTTTTCCCCCAACTTATGAGGAGACACAATCATTAAGTATTCCATGTGGTTTATTGTCTTTCTGTATGTACAATGAAGTGTAAAAAAAACTCGGTTACCCATGCAAGCGTTAAAAATGGAACGATGAAAATCATGTCACTCGATTTAACAAAACTATCATTTACATGTTCTTGTTTTGTCTGGACAGCTAAGGATATAAGTGAAAAAAGATGTCGGTATACTTTGAAAGGAAGAGGAAATATCCTGTGAACTCGTTTGTGAATATGTTTTTACTGGTGTGTTTAATATAAACACACTTTTTAAACAACCAAGAAAATCTTAACTTCATGCTGACTGTCACTAAGCTATAGACAATAAAGGATACTAGGGCAGTTAATTTAAATGGTTTTTTTAAATACACAATTTTAAGTAGCTAGACCAGAAATCTCTACTAATTTACCACTAATATGCTAAATGGGATATTAAAATGAAGGTACGGAAAATTGTAGCCTTTTCTTGTTTTAGAAAGGGGAGTGCTCTTGAGTTTTAACTTATAGACACTATGACAGCAAGAGACATTGTAAAATTTTAAGAGGAATGATGCATATTGTTTATGTAGACCCTTTGAGAATTTTTTGAGCACTTTAAACCCTCACACCCTGCTGACCCCAATGTATGGAATTTTCGCCTACTTTTCAAACTTCGATTTTAGTATCAGTCAGGAGGTTGAGACTGGCTAAAGCATGTTATTTTTAAAATCCGATTTAAATCTGTATCTGAACAAAGATGCTCTTGGATGTCAATTAAGGTATATTAACCAAGGTGAAGTTGGATTATTGGATTATATTTCACTAGATTATGTTGATGCAGTATGGTAGATGCAAGACTGCCATGACGGTGTGTCTTTTACACAAATGATAGAAGGTGAAACAATGAGTCACAAATAATGCTAAGCTTTCTCATTTTGTCTTAGCCGCTTAGCACAAACTTGTTTTGTAAATTTCCCTGTATTTGCCAAAAAAAAATCTGTGTATATATACTTATATAAATATATATAAAGTTTGCATTTGTAATAATAAAATACTTGAACTACTGTGGTTCCCCATAAACTTAGAGAATAAGAGTTAAATACTATTAAAATATGTACAACTCCATCAAAATATATTACCAGGTGGGTTGTTTGTTTTTAGGATTCTCACTTGCTTATTTCTCTTCTCCCTGATTGGGGGTTGCCCATCTCAAGCTAGTCAGCACTTGTCTCAATAAGGCACATTTCTTCCAGGCAGAGGTGAAAGTAAAGGGGTGTGCCCAGGTGTACAGCTCTGGGAAAACCCAAGCAGGGAGCCAATGAAAGAGCCGGTGGTACCTGAAAAATGTTAAGTTACTTTCACCACTGCATTCCAGATCTTTTGTAGACAGCTCATGCCATGAATGACTCTGGGTATATCTAGACTACACTGTTATTTCAAAAAAAACTTCACCTGTATCCAACTGCAATTGCGTTTTTTTTAAATTAAATTGAAAGAATGCAGGGGTTTTTTTACATTGGTAAACCTCAAATTATGAGGAAGAATTCCTTTTTTTGAAAGAGCGCTTTTGAAAAAAAGGCATGTGTGGATGCAGAACAGGGCCATTTTTTGAAAGAAGAGGCAATCGAAAAAAGCACAGGTGTCCTGGTGGCCATTCTCTGGAGAGAGCATGGAGTCTAGACACTCTTTTGAAAAAGCAGATTGCTTTTTTGATACAGGTTTGAGGTGCGGATGCGCTTTCAAAAGAAGCTTGCAGTTTGGACATACCTGAGAGCTGTGTCTACACTCGAGACTTCTCGCGCAAGTACGGCCGTTCTTACGCAAGAATCCGCAGAGCGTCCACACTGCCCGCCTGTTCTTGCGCAAGGAAATTTACACAACGGTGTGGTAAGAGAGGGCTTCTTGTGCAAGAGCTACACTTTTTTTAACAGGTGTAAGCCCCCTTGGGCAGGAGCTGTTGCGCAAGAGGGCAGTGTGGACTCCCGGCAGGGATTTCTTGCGCAAGAGAGCGTCCATGCTGCCATGGGCGCTCTTGCGCAAAAGCACAGCTCGCACATGGCAGTGTGGATGTGTTCTTGTGCAAGACTCCTTGCACAAGACCCTTTGGCACGATGTTCTTGTGCAAGACTCCGTGCACAAGACCCTTTGGCACGATGTTCTTGTGCAAGAAGCGGCCAGTGTAGACAGCCTCAGCGTGGGGGGGATCTGAATTCGGTCTTTCCCCGGGGCTATTTTCCTGCTCAGTTGGGGCTGCGGCGCTCGCTGGAGTGAGCCTTGGGCCGGAGCGTAGAAACCCCCCGCGGGGCGGGCGGGCGGAGGCGCCTGGCGGGGCCGGGCCCCACGGGGGGGG